TTACAATCAAAATAGAAGTTGTTTCATTTATAGACTTCATTAAAATGTAAAATGATTTTGGTTATCTCTTCTCGTCTACTGAAAATGTTAGGGAAAAATTAGTGAAGTGCATAATCATCTTCTAATAGGTAATACATACATTGCTTCTTTTACATTTTTTCCTCAGTTATGCACATAAGAGAAATCTACATCTTCTTCCATTTCTCTTCCATTACTTTGTTTTCTTCTTACGTCCTCTATCATGCACGCACATAAAGAATGTTTTAGTATTTGCAAATGCTGTCTTGCACCATTTCTCTTTCTTTGATACCTAGGAAAAAAAGTAATCTTCTTAATGATTAATAGACTATATATATAGACATACACAATAAATGATTTCTAAGAACGACACAATTGAAAAAGTTGAGGAGTGAAAAACAAGAAAGATGTAACATGGATGTTGAATTTTTTTGATTTGTGTTGAAAAGTGTGTGAATGTTGAAAAATGTAACATGGATGTCTGAATTTCTATAGTCGTGGTTGGGATTATGGAGTGGATGGTTTTGAAGTAATAAATTTGTATGTTGCTTGTAGTTGTTCCAAGTTTATTTCCCATATGGTAAGTACTTCAGCAAAAGAAATATTTTGTTATCTTCATGTTGATGGACATTTTGTAAAAGATTTCACAAAGGAAGATGACCTATGAAGGTGGGAGATTAATTTCTAAATTGATTAGAGAAGGCATAAATCATAAAGAGCTGTTGAGGATGGTGTTATTAGTGACAGGAGTTAAAAGTGGTACAGCTGACTTGAAATTTACAGTAAAGTTTAGTGAAAACACATACATAGATTTGTTAGATGATGAGGGAGTACAACATTTGATAAAGTATAATAATGAGTCAGCACATGTATATGTTGAGATAAATGATAATGAGATATATGGAGCAATGGATTATTCGATGGAGTAAGTTATTGTTCTTAGTTATTTGTGTGTTTAATTAGTTTAATCACCATTTATATTGACTTGTGAGTAATTGTGAATGTAGGATGGAGGATTTGTTACCATGGTCACTGCTAAGATCTCCCTATAGGCAAGAGCTTGAAAGTATATCACCCTCTTTGCCATGTTTAATACAAAATGCTCTTGCACCACTACTTGAGGTTAATTTGGTAAAATGGAAGGATTTATTTATGGATGTTGGCTAGACATTTGATGATGTAATTGTATTTAGAAAAGAACTATATAAATACAGCCTTGCTCATAGGTTTGGTTACATATTTATGAAAAATAGCCCTAAGAAGATGATTGTCAAATGCAATATTGATGGTTGTTAATGGAAGATATCAGCTTAAGCTCTTAGGAAGACAACCTTTATATTGTGTGTGAAAAGGTTTCACAACAAACACATGCATTTTGCTTAAGACAACCTCCTATTAAAGTAAAAGGCTAGCTTAAGATTAACATCATCAATCATCATTGATGCTGTGAGTGGGAATGTGGAGAAAACTTCAAATGAGATTAGACAAGACCTCTACAAAGAGTATGGGTTAAATCTCATATATCGGCAAGCTTTGAGGGGAAAAGATAGAGCATTGGAGGAAATATATGGGCTTCCACAATAATCATACATGTTGATCCTATGCCTTTGTAAGAAATTAAAGGAGATAGAACCAGACACATTTGCAAAGTGGGTTGCCTCAGTAAATTATAGATTTGATAGACTTTTTATTGCATATGGATGTTACACCAAAGGGTTTTTCCAAAGTTCTCATCCAATTTTTTATTGATGGAAGTCATTTAAGTAGTCCATATAAGGGGACTTTGCTAGCAGCTTCTGCAATTGATGCAAATAATGACCTATTCCCTTTGGCTTATGCAATAGTGGGTGGAGTAACATATAATAATTGGGCTTAGTTTCTTAAAAATTTGAGGGAGATCACACACCAAGTTCAATTGACTATAGTGTCAGACAAGCATAATGCTATTATTGGTGCAGTGCATGTAATATTTGATGGCAATTGATATACTTTTTGTTATTATCATGTCAAAGAAAATAACAGCTCTGAATTTATAAAAATTAATAGAGGCATGTGAAGGATTGATGGGATGACCAAGGAAGATGCACTTAAGTTGTTGGATAATATTGTGTATGCAAGGTTGGAAATAAAATTTCATATTGCTATAGATCATTTAATGGTTTTCTCCCTACAGTTGTCAAGATGGTTAGAAACAAATGGGGATATAGATCATTATCTAGCAAGATTTTCATACAAAAGATGGGACAACATAATAACAAACTATGTTGAATCTTTCAATACTTGGCTAGCAAAGAGAGAAAACATCATATATGTGCATTGATAAATAAGCATCGACCAAAATTAGTGAGGAAGCTATACAATAGCAAGATAGAAAGGGCGAATTGGTCAAACGGCGTTGGACCATATGTTGAAGTGAAGTTGAGGGAGAATGTATTGAAAGCTAAAATTATGGTGGTTGAACATTATAGTGTGAATATGATACCAGTGAAGGTAGAAAACAATGACTTGAGAGTGAATCTAACATTAGGAGAATGCTCTTATCAGGAATGGTAAATGGTAGGAATTCCTTGTGCACATGCATGTGTAATAATAAAATTAGTTCATGGCAATATGTATTCATATGTTAAAGAATGCTAAACTATCTATGCACAAGAAAAAATTTATAGCTCCATAATGATTCCGGTGGAAACCATTAATATGCCTCAAATAATTGAGCTACATTATGAAGATTATGAAAACAATACCTTTTTGAAACCACCACTGAATACACGTCCCCTAAGGCGACCACCTAACAATTGAAGAGAGTCATAATTTCAGAATAAAAAGGTGTCTCATTGCTTAAGATGTAATCAAGCTGAATGTACTAAGAATAGATGTAGGAATCCCAATCCAATGTAGGGATTGAAAGGGGGTGAAAACCACATGCATATTAGTTGGTTTGAAATTGAAATGCGTATGTTTTTATTTATTTTGTTAATTTTGCTATTGAATGACCTTTTGTATAAACACCCACCTTATATCTTTTATACTTGTGGAGGTGATAAGTTATGTAAATGGGATTGCAGTCTATGTTGTTTTTTGGTAAGTAGACTGCATAGGTACCACTTAGGTAGATTGGATATTTTTTGTGTAAAAAGGGATGCAAATATGGTGTACATGTATTGAAATCGGTGTAATATAATGCTGATAAAAATTTTAGGTCTAAATTTGTGCAAATGTAAATGCTATCATGACATAAGATTGCTAAATTCACCAACGTAGCATAGGGATATTGCTAATGTACCTACTGACAACATAGAACCTTACTTGGGATTAAACTTTTTTTGCAGTATTTCAGACATTTAAGAGACTTGTCAGATAATGGGATCCAATAGTGTTGGTTGGGAATTTCATACTCAAAGCAAGAGAAATTCCTACCATATGTTATGAAATGAATAACCCTACTTGGGTATTATTGTTTATCAGAAGATACCTGTCAAACATCAGGATTTAGCAACCTTACTTGATAATTCCCTAACTTGAGTTGGAAAAGTAGCTAATGTATAATGTAAAATCTCCTAACATGATTTGGAAACTCTTTGTTTAAGCGTAAGTCTTGCCACAAATTAGGTTCTAGGAACCTTATTTAGGAATTTTCTAACATATGTTGTAAACGTGCCTAAAGTGACTTGGGAATTCATTAAGGATAAGTCTTGACACAAGTTGGGTTCCAGCAAAGTCACTTGAGATTTTCCTAACCTAACTTGGGAAAAAGTTGAACGTATGTTTTGAAAGAGCCTAATGTGACTTGGGAATTCACTGTGTAAGTATAAGCCATTTGCCGTAAGTTTTGTTCTAGCAACCTCACTTGAAAATTTGGTAACATAAGTTAGAAAAGTGACTAACATATGTTGTGAAAGTTCCTAACATGACTTGGAAATTTATTATTTAATGAAAACTGATGTGGCACAAGTTGGGTTCCAGCAAAGTCAGTTGGGATTTTCCTAACCTAACTTGAGAAAAAGCTGAACGTATGTTTGAAAGAGTTTAACATGACTTGGGAATTCATTGTGTAAGGATAAGCCATTTGGTGCAAGTTTTGTTCCAATAGCCTTACTTGGAAATTTGGTAACATAAGTTAGGAAAGTAACTAACATGTGTTGTGAAAGTTCCTAATGTGACTTGGGAATTTATTATTTGATGAATACTGACATGGCACAAGTTGGGTTCTAGCAAAGTCACTTAGGATTGTCCTAACCTAACATGGAAAAAAGCTAAACATATGTTTTGAAAGAGCCTAACATGAATTGGGAATTCATTATATAACGGTAAGTCACTAGGCACAATTTATGTTCCACAAACTTTACTTGGGAATTCTATAACATATCTTGTGAGATTGAACGTTAGTTTTGAAAGTAATGTGAGTCAATGAAAATCAAGAATGGTTTGTCAAATTTCTTATACATGTAGCCAAGTTTTTTTTTGAATTAATTACTGTATCATATACATGAGGCCATAAAAAATACTTAATTACATAAAGATGTAATTTACATAAAACAATTGTCTATACTATGATTTCAATCTTTTAGATCTTGCATGCCCAGCATTTGAAGTGGGTGTCATGACTTGAGAGTCCACTCTGTTGTGTGGATGAATCATTAGCCAATACAATACCTCAAACTTAATACTTCTAAGCTCACATTATACATATAAGGGTTAAAACTAATAATCTTTTGAAAATATTTGAGGAATATTTAGGATCCCATAAAAACCCTTTAAATTGATAATTTGAGTTCAAACTTAATATTTTAAATAGGCATTAGAAGCATGGAAAAGTTTTAGGAAGCAAACCACTTCAAACACAGGGCCAAAAATGTCATTTTTGAGTGTTTTGGTCCATGCGCCGCGGCTCGTGGTCCGTGTGCAGTGGCTTGTGGCACAGAATGCCATATTTTCTCACTGAATCGTGCACCGCGGCTTGCACAAAATGCGCCACGGCGTACCTGTCCATGACAGCAATGCTGTCATGATAGCTTTTCTAGACGAACTTCGAACACGCGCCATTTTCACATCCGATGTCCAATTGGAGTAATTCAAGTGCCCACGCGAAGCTTATTCAATAAGCTAACTAATGGTACAAGTTTCATTTCGATTTAACACTATATGAGAATTTTAGACATTCGAATGTAAAAGTCAGTTTTTTAAAAAAATTTTCAACCATCCAAGTACCCAAAACTCATAACTAATACCATTAATCCATTGTGAGGCTTGAACCAAGTCCAATAGACCAATATACACTTGAGTGACCAATCAAACACACAAAAACATACCAAACACAAAATTTGGCCACTCAATGGCCATTTTGCCTAATATGGCCAAAATGCACAATTAGCACTACAAGCACTATTTGGCCTCTATTGCCACATAATATACTACCAATATATTATTACCACTTAGATAAAACATTCCTTACACTTGTATTAGTATTTTAGCCTATTACCATAAAAATTATCACATATTCACCTTATATACAATATTGGGCTAAAATACACAACAACATAGTATAAAACAAGTGCAACCAATCAAAATGATATGCATTCCTAGTTGGCAACATATAATATCATATAACAAGTTTATGTACACCACTTAAACCAAAATCGGGCTTTACAAAGAGTGTAGTAGATATGCTAGCCCCTGCCCGATTCCCTCCCTGGCTCAGTCTCACTGGTAGCACCTATAAAATGATAATCCATGGGGTGAGATAAAAATCTCAGTAACTATGATAATCTACATTATTGATTAACAAGCCAAGTTATAAACAAGCATTAAAATAAGTAACATAATCACATCATATAATATCATCACAAATTTGCATGCATGATCCCTAACCATCCAGTCCTCCAATACTCCCGACCGAACCAGTAGGCTATTTCACAGAACCAAACCACATATATGGTCCCCAAGCTTACCATACATGGTAGGACTACCCAGCCAAGGTGTCCTAAACCACTTCTGGACTACTGTTTCCCCCTATTACAAGTAATTGGGGTGTCGTTACTCCAATACCGCATCTTACGGATGCTAAGGAGCATAGTCTCCAACTCCGCACCCTTTTGGGTACTAAGGAGAGTAAGTCTCTAATACCGCACCCATTTTTAGGCACTAAGGAGAGTAAATGCTGTACCTGGTATCCTGAGGTGCCAACAATGTCATATAGACTTAGATCTTTACTATCTCCACTAGGGTGACCTCCCACCCTCTAATATGCCACATTTCACTACATATCTCCACTTGACTATGCATAAATAACTTTTCAAACAAATATAACAAATCTTATCATTTATTTCAAAAATATAGAATTTTACAATCTAATATTCTACTCATTTTCTAAAATAGTTAACCTTTAAAGAATTTATACATATATACTCAACAAATCATAGAAAATCACTTGAGAATAACTTATACAAGGTAATAAACAATGCAAATTATCTAGTTACCTCAACTCTTTTGTTACTAAAAGGGTTACCCGTAGTACCAATTCTCTTCTTGTGTCAAGGTAAGTCTTCCCACACAACAATCTACAATAACAAGTATTATATATTAATTTTCAATTAACACAAGCACTATTAGCTAATAATAACCTCCCAATTCTCCCACTTCTCACTCAAATTCTCAACAAATAAATTTGTCAAGATTAGAATTTGTTCACTTCATCCCTTCAAGTCTCCTTCTAACTCTATCACAACATAAAAATTAATATGTCAACTTATCACACTTCAACACCCAATGATCAAGATAAAACTTGATCCAACTCCCACTAAACAATAAAGTAGCTTCATATTTCCATATATCCAAGATCAATAAACCTAAATTAAATCTTTAGAGTCAACAGAAACCTTCAAAACATTGACTCATGGCTTAATTCTATCAGACCAAATTCTCACTCTTCCAAATCCTATGAAAAATGAGATGAAAAGGTAGAGGAGAAGGGTAGGAAACTTACCCAAGAGTTTGGAGGCTTAAATGATCTTCAAAATCCTTCCAAATTGATACCCTAGCAGTGCCCAAAGTTGCCCCTTTCGTGCTCTAAGTTTCCTACCATAAAATCTAATTTTTTCTGTTGATTCTCGAAATTTTAAGTTGCTTGCTGTGCTGTGCGCTGTAGCACATGCCATGCAAGCCGTGGTTCACGGCACAGCGAGTAACAACTTGATTTTGCTCCCCCTGATACTTCCCGACTTGATCTGACTTTCATCCTATCTCAATTTTGAGCCAAATATGACCCAAAAATCCAATTAGACACCAAAAAACATAATTAAATAAATTAATCATATTTTTAACTAATTTATCCCTTAATTAATCCATTTTTCTAGATTTGAAGTTTTAGGATGTTACATTTACCATCTTGACACTCAGCAATACAATTGTTATATAACAAGGGTGCCACTTATTTTATTCAATTTAATGCATAACTTTGTAACTCTGCATTTAAAATAAAATAAAAAGTTAAGAAATCTAGATCCAAATGTTTATGAACATCATACTACCAAGTTGATGATGCATTGTAGTCCAATAACAATAAAAGAAACTAAAAAGAAAAGTCCTATAGTCTAATAAAAATAAAAAAGAAATGTGCTATGGTCATTAAAAAAAATATAAACCTCGTATGTTCTTTGGGGAGTACATGAGTTAGAGGTTCACTCCTTTAATGCCTTCCCTTAGTTCTTACTCAAGCCTTTACCTAGAAAAAGTTAAAGAAGGGTGAGTACTAATACCTTATTAACCTAAAATTTTATCATACACAAATTACAAACACACAAATATAAAAGCAAGTCCATGAGAGTCATTCAATTATAAACATAAAAATTTCATAGTGCATAGTTAATAACCATTAAATGCAATACTAATAATCCCTTTTGTTACTTTGTCTGGCATTGTCCCACTAATTAGAACCATAGGCTTAACTATGGTCTAACCTACACACTAGACTAACTAAAGCTTCTCATATGCTCTAGACATACCTGGCCAAAGGTATAGAGTTCAAATCCAGACTATGACTCCCCTCCTTAAAGAATCCAACCAAGAGGTGTCATTAGCACATGTTCCCCCTTTATAAGCTTGGCTTATGTCATTAGCCTAACAGAGTTTGCACACATATGAAAAACCCAAAGTTTCTTATTTTCCTTAAGCTAACAAGCAATCCTATAGAAAAATCTAACAAAAGAAAAGATCTTAGTGAGAATTTATAGAAATCACATTCATAAAAAAATATTAATATGACGTTTAAAGCAATAAAAAATTACCTTAAAGAAATCCAAAGATTACTCTAAAATTATTCTAGATCTTAGGGCTACCCTAGAGGACCCAAAATTCTCTTTTATAATTTACTAAATTTATTAGTAGTCATTTTCATGCTAAGCTTTAATTCATAGGATTTTGAAATCTTGGTTCCTAATCCAAATTCATATTAAATTTATATAACCTATCATGTATGTGGGGTATATATACACATATGTGCACAAGCATACACAGACACACACACACAGAGGTGCATGTTGAATCTTGATTTTGATGATTGCAAAATAAAGAGAAATTTTGTGTGTTTTAGGCTTTCTTAACTAAAACCAAGTTAATTAGCTTAACGTTAAATATAACTAAGTGAGAGCTTATATGTAACAGAAGGTATGCTATCTTGTTAGTTAAGTATTTGACTTAACTATAATCTTTGCGCTTGAAGTTGTCTTGTTCAAAAGTGTTTCTAAGTGTTGATAACACCGGTACTAAAAGCCTTAACACCAGTGCTACCTCTATTATCTTCATTATTCTATTATTTCATGTTTCTTATAACACCAGTCTTACCCATTATAACACCAGGGTTATCCCTTTAAACCTGTGCAATTGAGTCTCTCTTATTTAAATCTTTTTCCTTACACTGGTACTATCTATTCAACATCAGTCTTATTCTTCATTTATCTTTGGTTGAATTAAGACAACACCTGTGTTACTTGGTTAGCACCTGTACCAAGTTTTGTTCAAGTTTGTGCAACACATGTGCTAACACCTCAACACTAGTATTGTCCTTTCTTCTATCCTATAAAGAGATTTGATTGATATGTTACTTCAGTATTGCTTTCTTTTAACACCGATATTAAATAATCTTTTTAGAAATATACTAATTCTCCTAAAAATATCAAAAATATTCATTTTTTACACATTGGATTACACCAATACTATAAGAACAACACCTATGCTATGACCTTCTTTTTATATCTGCTTATCACTATAATGTTGGTGCTAGATATAGTAACATTGGTACTGCTATGAATCTTTTTGCTTTGTTTTTCATATCTCTTTCGAAGGTCATCTAAACTAATCTTTTAATCCTTCTTTTCATCTAAAATCAATTGTGTTCACTTTATATTTTTACCAAATGATATTTAAACACAATTATTTCCTTAAAGTTATTCTGGTTGCTCATGTTTGATTTAGTCATCGAGCTTGCTTTCTGTTATACCAAAATGTATAAGCTTCAACCACTTTTGTCAAAAGCATTTAATGTTTTTAGCTGTTATTGTACAAAAGAGGAAGTCTCTGCTATAAAGCACTATTCTATTACCTAAATCATTGGATATTCGAGGAAACACAAAGCAAGAAGGAAACAGATCACAAGCAACCTCCAACAAAAAAATTTATGAGTCTAAAGGATCATTTATGATCCTCAACTATACATAGACTCATTTATGTAACCTGAAAAAAGAGAGGAACAACAAGAACATCAAGAACATTTTGCATTTATTTGAGCATCAAATTTTACCTACCTTTTATGTATTATTAATTGATAGAGAGCCTTATTGATTATACATCTACTCTAAAAGAGAGTTTAAAAGTAGTAGTAGTCCATTCTTGAACCTACTCTGTTTATCCTAATTTTACATCTTCAAAATAGAGGAACTTAAGCTCGGGGAGCTTAAGGGAATTTATCATTACCTTTGTAAGGGAAAGAGTTTCAAACTTATTAAGAAGTTTGTTTATGTATTGAGACAAGCAAGAGCTCAGATTAATCT